CATTAGATATAACAAAAAAATTATAAGTAGGTAGTACGATGTCACAGTCAAAGAGTCACACAGCTCATAGACTCATTATGCATTTTCGGTTTTGATCAACAAACTCATTTTGAACTTAAGTCTGAGTTTTATAAACGTTGCACTCCTATAATATAAAGCTTTCGTAATTACGTCCATTGCATGCCACTGATGTCTGCATTTTTATTGAACAGTGCTATAACCATCGCAAAGGTTGCCTCTCTCTCTCTCTCTATATATATATATACACAAGACAAGACACAATTTGCTTTTACCTAAGAATTTCATATTTTGTAATTCATATTGTGAAATAAAAATTATTAATTGTGAAACAGTCCCAAAACTAAATTTGTTTTTTTGAATGGTTTACAACTTGGTGATGAAGGAATTCGAACACTAATCCTATGATTGGGGGAGGCGTCTTATTATGGGGTATAGAGCCGTCGGGCCACAAAGTCTAGATGCAATCCCAACACTAAATTTAAAACATATAATTTATATAAATAGAATAAATTTAACTATTAGACTTGATCGATTATAAATACGATCAGCGATGGAGCGTGCTAGGGTTGGAGCGAGGGGTGCGACGGCGAGGACAGACGGCGGATCCAGACGGCGGCAAGTTTCCAGAGGGCAGTTACACGGGGTTGATAATCAGATTAATAGACAAGTGAAGACATTCTTTTTCTACAATTTTCCAGAAAACAGTGAGGCAGCGGACTTATGGTATGATTTTGCAAAGTATGGGAAAGTGGTTGATGTGTTTGTGCCGAGAAAGAGAGATAAGTGGGGCAAAAGGTTTGGCTTTGTTAGAATGGCAGGGGTGCAGAACGAGGATCAGATGGAGAAGTGGCTGAATGAGATATGGATTGGTTATTATAAGATGAGAGTTAAGATAGCAAATAAGATCCAGAACCAAGGCGCAAGAAATAAAAAAGCCTCGACTGCAGCAAAGGTGAAGTGGACAAAGGTAGGAATGAATAGACTGGTGCAACCGGGACAGTCATATGCCCAGGCTGTTGTGGGCAACAGCAGTGATGGGGAACAGGTGGATGTAAGGCCAACAAATGCGAAGGAGAGAGTTGGGGAAGAAATAGAACCAGTACCAGTACAGGCATTGCGATTAGTGGAGAAGGAAGAGGTGGGATCGAGTGTAAAGGTGGTTGCAAAGGAGGTGGAGATGGGTGGGGTTGAGAAACAAAAGGAGGAGGTGATCATTGAAATCACACCGACGGAAGAAGAGCTTCAATGGCTGGAAGGGAGTATGGTTGCTTCGTTGAAGTCGTTGGCGTCGATAACGAATATTCAAGATCGAATGGATGTAGATGGAGGGCTGATAACTATATCACCACTAGGAGGACGATCAGTGCTGTTAATGGAGCGGGTGAGAGGATTCCTGATGGAGTATATGCAGCACAACAAGGAGACATTCGATTCATGGTTTGAAAATATACAACCTTGGAGAGTAGCAGCTATGCAGCGATGTCGATTGGCCTGGTTACGAATATCAGGGGTACCATTACAAGCCTGGAACGATCGTTGTTTTGAAATGGTTGGAGGAACGGTGGGGGAAGTGGTCATGATTCATGATGATACCAGAAGGAAGGCTATTTTGTGTGATGGGAGGGTGCTGGTTCTCTGTTCTGATGCATCTAAAGTCTCACAATCCATTATGCTGAGGGTGGATGAGAAGCTGTATGTGATAGACGTAGTGGAAGAGGAATGGAGATCGGATCCGGACTGGTGGTTGTCGGAAGATGACCGGAGGAGCTCGTGGAGCACGGCATCGGAGACTAATTCAATGCAGAGCGATGATGAAGGGCATGAATTATTTGCTAACGGGATTAGCGGCGAGGATGATGATAGTATTGGGGGGGAGTCGTTATACAAGGAAGGATTTTGTAATTCAAATCTGCAGGAGGTAACGGCTGGCAAGGAGAATGCTGGATTTGGTTTGACGCGGGAAGTTGGGGATGTAAATGGGCTTGATGCAGGAGAGGCGAATGACGAGGGGAATGGGTTGGTAGGGAGTGAGGCTCATTATGGGCTTGAGGAGAGTTTTGGGCTTTCTAAAGGCCCAACAGGTGAGGAAATTAAAGATAAAGAGGAGGTTTCCACGGGGGATGTTCTGGAGAATTCCTGCACAGTTCATAAAGACAAATCCAGAGACGGGAAGGGTAAAAGGAGGAAGAAAATTGCAGAGTGTTACCCGGAGGAGTTGTATGAGATCCGGACAGAGAGGGCGAACTTGGTCACTGCACGGACAAAGCAGAGGCAAGCAAGGCGGGCAAAGAAGGCTCAAACGGTGACCGACGAAATGGAGAAGAGAGCTGGAAGTCTGTCCGTGTCCGATGGAGGCATTGAACACCGAAACCAGGTAATAAAACGAGATCTAAACCTGCAGGAGGTGAGGAAGATGATGAGTATAGGGAGAAGATTGGGTATGCAATTCCAAGAAAATGAAGAGGAGATTGAATCTAGATTATGTGTGTTGGAGGAAAGGGACGAGAGGCAGGGGAAGCACCCGTGAGGTGTGGGTGGGTGTGGGTTGTGTGGGTGTGGGTAATATTTTGTTGATGAAGGTGCTTTCTTTTAATGTTAGGGGTCTCGGGAGTACTCTTAAGAGGAAGGAAGTGGAGAAGTTAGTGAGGTTAGAAAAACCAGATTTTTTGTTTGTTCAAGAGACAAAATTAGAAGAGATTGATGAGGGTCTTTGTAAAATGGTGTGGTATTCGAATGGGTTTGAGTGGGTTGGAAAGGGGTCTATAGGGGCTTCAGGCGGGCTGCTCTGTGTGTGGGACAGGATGCAGTTTAGTAAGCTGGGTCAATTCACAGGGGATGGTTATCTGGGAATAAAGGGGCTTTGGGGAGTTAAGAAGGAGTTGTGTTATCTTGTGAATGTATATGCTCCAACTAACCGAAAGAAAAAAGCTGAGTTATGGGATGAGTTGAAGCAAATGATTATGGACGAAGGAGGAAGATGGCTAATTGCAGGGGATTTTAATGCAGTACGTAGCATTGAAGAAAGGAGGGGTAGAACAGGGGAGAGTCCGGATATGAAGGAGTTTAACGACTTTATAGAGGCAGTGGGGTTGGTGGATCATAAGTTGGCGAATCGAAGGTTTACCTGGTATAGACCAGATGGCTCAGCTATGAGCCGATTGGATAGGGTATTGATGACAACTGAGATGACCGAATTGGGTGGAGAATGGGTGCAGCAGGGTTTAAGGAGAACTATTTCAGATCATTGTGCGATCATTATGAAGTCCAAAGTAACAGATTGGGGTCCTAAACCATTTAGGGTGCTTGATGCTTGGCAACAACATCCGGAGTTTAAGAGGGTGGTTGAGGAACAGTGGAATGCAATGGCAGTGGATGGTTTTGCAGGTTTCAGATGTAAGCAAAAATTGAAGATGTTGAAAGAATTTTTGCGAGAATGGAACAAAGGGGTGTTTGGAGATATAGAGGCTCATTTTGAAAGGGCAGCAGCCAAAGTTGCACGTGTAGACATGAAGAATGAAGATTTAACATTGGAAGAAGATGAGGTACATGAAAGACAGGAGGGCTTTCAGGAGATATGGGACATTTTGAGGAAGAGGGAAGCTTTATGGAGGCAGAAGTCAAGAAGTAACTGGGCAAAATTGGGGGATGCAAATACTAGATTCTTCCATAAAATTGCAAATGGACGAAAGGCTTGCAATGGCATTGTGGGGCTCTCGTGTGATGGACAATGGGTGGAGGAGCCAGAGATGGTAAAAAAGGCGGCTGTTGATTACTTTCAAAAGATGTTTTGTGGGGAATCTTGGAATCGTCCAAAACCTTCCGGTATTAATTTCAAGCAGATAACTGAGGAGATGAGGGCATGGCTAGAAAGACCATTTTCAGCAGAAGAGATTGAAGAAGGATTGAAGAATTGTGAGGGGAATAAAGCACCAGGGCCGGATGGATATAACTTTAATTTTATCAAATTTGCCTGGAACAGCTTGAAGGAGGATTTTGTGAGTTTCTTCGGGGAGTTCCATCAACATGGCAGGTTGGTAAAGGGTCTAAACTCTTCCTTTTTGACTTTAATTCCTAAAAAGTTGAATTCTGTGGAATTAAAAGATTTTAGACCAATTAGCTTGATTGGGTGTATTTACAAATTATTAGCAAAGGTGTTGGCAAATCGGATTAAGGTGGTAATGTCACAGATTATTAGTGATACTCAGTCTGCTTTTGTCGAGGGACGTCAGTTGGTTGATGGGGTGTTAGTCTTGAATGAAGTTGTTGAGGAGGTCAAGAGACGAAAGCACCAAGCTTTTATTTTTAAGGCTGACTTTGAAAATGCCTATGATTGTGCCGATTGGTCTTTTCTGGATTGGATGATGAGCAGGTTTGGTTTTGGAGTGCAATGGAGAGGATGGATAAAAGAGTGTCTGTCAACAGCCAGAATCTCAGTGTTAGTGAATGGAAGCCCAATCGAGGAGTTTATGATGGGAAAAGGATTAAGGCAAGGGAACCCTCTATCCCCTTTTATGTTTTTGATGATCGCCGAGGGGCTACATGGTCTAGTTAAAAAAGTTGAGACAAAGGGCTTGATACATGGAATCGACGTGGGTAGGAAAGGATTGAATATTTCTTTGCTCCAATTTGCAGATGATACGGTGATTTTGGGGAAAGCGAATGGAGAGAATATTTTTACTGTGAAAACCATTTTGCGATGGTTTGAGTTGATGTCTGGATTGCGAATTAACTTTCGTAAAAGTAGTATTGTCGGATTTAATGTGGAACAGAGGTGGTTAACAGGGGCAGCATCCGTTTTGAGATGTGGTGTTGGGGAGATACCTTTTGTGTATTTGGGAATGCCTGTGGGTGGAAATCCTGGGACTAAGAAATTGTGGGACCCAATGCTGAATAAATTTTGAAATAAGCTTGCCGTCTGGAAATCTGTCTTGCTGTCCTTTGGCGGTCGCATCACTCTGCTTAATTCGGTACTTTCCTCTTTACCTATTTTTTACATGTCTTTATTTTTAGCGCCTAATTGTGTGGTGTCTGAGTTGATTAGAATACAAAGGGATTTTCTGTGGGGGGGGTGGAATTAAAGAGGAAGATTCCTTGGGTTAGCTGGGAGATGGTATGTCGTAGTAAGGAGAAGGGTGGGTTAGGTGTCATGGATTTGAGGAGGAGGAATTGGGCACTTTTAGGGAAGTGGTGGTTTAGGTTGGGTGAGGGTGGAGAGAGCTTATGGAAAAGGGTCCTGTGGGATAAATATTATGGGGGTCGGAGGGAGGCGGATATCAGGGCAGTGGAGAGTGTGAGGATGTCTAGGATTTGGAGGGATGTTATTAGCGTCGGGGGAAACTCTGTCAAAGTGCATGACATGTTAGGGAAGGGGTTTAGGTGGATGGTTGGTGATGGAAGACGAGTAGGTTTTTGGCGTGAACTTTGGGTGGGGGTTAAATCTTTAAAGGAGTTATGCCCTAGGTTATTCGAGTTAGCTATGAATAAGGACGGTATGGTTTGTGATATGGGGGTGTGGGAAAGGGGTATATGGAGATGGAATGTTGAATGGAGAAGAGGGAGGCTGGGCCGAGAAAGGGGGGAGGAGGTGGTGCTGTGGGAGGTGTTAAGCAGGGTGCAAATCACGGAAGGACGCGAAGATTGCTGGAAGTGGATGCATGATGCAGAAGGGCGATATGTAGTGAAGAAGGCATATGAGTTTCTGTCACCAATGGAGTTCATACTTCCTGATCATATTTGTAAGATGATTTGGTGTAAATTAGTTCCCTCAAAAGTTAGCTTTTTTGGTTGGAGATTATGTTTGGACAGACTCCCAACAAAAAGAAATTTAGTAAAAAGAGGAATTAATTTGGCGGTAGACGATTTGCGGTGTGGTTTGTGCAAAAAGGAGGAAGAGGAGTGCAATCATTTATTTTGTTCATGCGAGGAAGCCTGGTTAATTTGGGTTCAGGTGATATCTTGGTGGGGTATGCAGGTTGTGATGCCCAATTCAGTGGAAGGGGTGATGGAGTTTTTCTTGTATGAGTTGGGGGGTATGGTAGGGAGAGAGCTGGGGGCGTGTCTTTTCCTTGTAGGGTCTTGGTATATTTGGTATTGGAGGAACATGAGAGTTTTCCAGCACAAAGGGGAGTGTAGGGACGGTTTGATCCACATGATTCAGTCCAAAACATTTTTCTGGATTAAAAACAAGGTGGCTGGAAGTGTCTTCTCAATAGTTGATTGGAAACTTAATCCTTGGGAATGTGCTGCTGCTATGAGGAAGCATAAAAGCTTGCTGAGAACATTTCATAAGCACAAAAACGGTAAGCAGGTTGAGTAGTGAGACTGGAATGTGTGGGATTACATGTCTCTTGGGATTACTTTGTTTTAGTTAGATTATTTTAATTGTTTGTATTTGGGTTGGAGTACCCCTTGTACTCTATTTAATCGAATATCCTTTATTTGCTGATAAAAAAAAAAAGAATAAATTTAACTATTAGTTTAATGGAATATTTAATTATACAAACAAAAATTATATATAATTAATATAAAAACTTTTATATGTTATATGTAATCAGATCTAGACTATTTTTTATATTTGCTCTTACCTAGATAAATTGATTGTGTCTTTACAAGAATTAGTCACAAATGATCCCTTTACCTAAGTCATAAATATTTTCTTTATATTTAAATAGTCCCAATAATTCTAACTTCAAAATTAAGATTTTATATAAAAAAATATTTGTACTATATTTGACACTTTTCAAAAGTTTAGGGGGGCAATTGCCCCCTTGTTCTATGCTAGCTCCATTTTTGAGTAGTTGATCATTTTTATATCAAACTCACTTACACTTTCTTTCTGATATAGAATTTAAGGCGTCACATTCTGTTACTTAAATAAGGCCTATATGGGATTTAAGGCAAAACAATCTCCTTCACTTAAATGAGATCAATAAGCATTGTGAAGTCTGTACTACCACCAACCATGATAATCAATATGGTCCTATACTTGTAAGACATGACTTCTTTTATAATGTCAATGGAAACAACCTAAGTGGAAATCTATCAATAACGTAACAACTATTCGAGTCAAGATTTACATGCCTTAAGTTTCTTAATATAATAACTAATCAATTATATATTGAATTCACTCACAATTTCTTAATAAATTATCAACTAAATTCATGTTTGAACTTTGAAAAAGATAAAAGAAGATAACTACTTTATTAATTAAGAGCATCTACAATATAAAGACCCATACATAAAGGAGTCTCTTAAATGTCATAATATTCTTATTAATATTATTTTATTCAACTCAATTTTAAGATTTTTCATTTTAATATTGAGACCCTTAAAAGACTTTTCAAAATTTATACTAACATTATGCTATTCAACTAATATCCCTGTTGAGGGATAAATTTGTATTACTTTGAAATTCACAATATATGCAGTGCCATATTAATAAGACCAGCTTTGAACTTGTGACTAGGAAGGGTCCATGTGATCTACTTCCACATTAGATCTGCTATATATTATTTTCTACTGATAACTGCAATAGAGTCAACATTGCTAAAAGCAATGTTCATTTACTTTGTTAGAAATATTGCAAACATGGTCTACTTCAATACCATTCTCATGTACATGGCCAGACTTAGCTGCATCTATCTCCACGACACGGCTGGATGTTTTTTATGATCATGATCTCTACTGTTATGTTTATTACTACAATTGGCTCCTAACAAAGAGCCTGTTTTGCTACATTTACATGACTCCTATTAAAGGGTAACGAGTTGATTTTATTATATCTATATAGCTCTTGGCCATGAACAAAGGGCCAAACATCTACATCTATATATATCACTAATTTCTATCAATGGACAACAGGTTGATTCTATTATATCTACATAGCTATCAATGATGGACAAAAAGCTAGATTTGCTATCTCATTTAACTTCCAGCAATGGACAAAAGGCTACATAGTTCTACACATTTTGCTACATTGGCTCTCGGAAATAGACAAAAGGTCAGATCTATCTCTACATATTCTATTTTTACTGGCTCCCAAAAACAAACAATTAGTCAACACGACTCGGTATGATTAACATGAGGCCGATAATAGTTGCAACCCTACAATTAGTTGGGATGGCTACCCTTTAGCGATAAAAATCCATCAAGTTGTGCTCAACGGCTCCTTGGTGGTTGTCGTGCATGGTAGTGTGGTGCCTGACAGGCAACAACAATCAAGACCATCCTCTGATGGTGTAGGTATGATAAGAAGGGCCATTGTTCGATTGTGATATCACACCTTGTCCATATTGAAGGCTATGGATGTGGTTGGCATCCCTCTTCCATGGATAAAACTCCACCCATTTTTATCACATATTCATTGTTATGGTGGAGTCCTGGATTAATGAGATTTATCCTTTTTGAGACTTGGCAAATTAATGGGAATACTCTTCTGATTCCACATAGTCCATGCTCTAACCATGGGTAAAACTAGCTAGTATTGTCCGTCTAGTTATGGAGAAGCTATCCATAACTAACTCTGCAACATTTATTCAACATGGCTAGCGGTCATGCACATCACTATTCTTTTATATAAAGAAACAAAATTACCAATCACTAGTAATCTCGATCTATAACATACTTCTTCCATGTTTTTATGTGTTGGCAGGTGTCATTGACCAATGATGCTTGATTCGGTAAAATGATAATGCGACATGTATCCATATTATTCATGCTTCATTTTAGCGTATCGCTAAACATACACAGCAATATTATATAAGTACTTGTGATGTCTCGCCTCAAAATTAATACCCTTTGGCTAAGCGGTTGTTGTAGCGTAGCGTTAGGTGTCGAATCCACAGGGAAGCTATATTAAATCAACAAAAAAAATTGTCACAATGAGAAATTAAATTAAAAGATGAATTCTAAAATTAAGAATAAAAATATTTAAATAAAAAATAATAATTGTAAAAGATTAAAAACAATATTATGATGAACAAGACTTCAGGGTTCACTTAATTGATTTGTTTAACTGTTATAAATTTTGATTCCTATTTATTACTCAATTGCATGTTTCACATCCCAAACAAACAATCGGAAGATTCAACTTTGAAAACCAATAATAATGACAAATGTATTTATTCTGAGAAAAATTAATTTCAATGAAGAACAAACTGATCTATCCTTACGAGCTATCCGAGAGCGACAATATATCTAATCGACAATACTGCAGTAAAGGATCAACCCGCAA